GGGCCCATTGCACTGCATTGAGACCAGAGAAAATATGTGCTTATAGTGTATACAGTATTTCTCCAAAAGGTTGTGTAGCTGGGGTGCTGCCCCTTTAGGCCATGCAGCAGAACCTTTCCACTGGCCACAGATTGTTGCTTCCTGCCTGCAAGGACTGACAGAGCACAGGGAGAGGAGAGGAGCAAGGAAGGATGCTGGTTGGCTGCAGACTAAAGGCCGCCTCTAGCAACAGAGCACAGAGAAGGATTTCCATTGGCTGTATAGCCCTGCCCACTGGAACAGAGTGGGTGCAAGGGCTTCTGGGAGAAGAGGTGCCCGGGATGGTGCAGTGCAGAAAACACAACGATTGGGCAATATTTAGAGAGCCGAGACACCATGTACCATGTAGAGCGGCGGCTGCTGTTTGTACACCGTGAGAGTATATCGAGCAGGATCAGAGAAACAGAATCCCATAAATATGTGCCATGGAATTCTGTTCCCTAATATCTGCATGCGCCCATGCATTCAACTGCTGAACCGCAGCAGCTGGAAGAAGTATAAAAGCAGATTTGAGCTCCTGTCTGCCATTTGCAGAGGAATCGATACGGTTTCTCAGTTGTCAGAAATGGAAGCTCATTATTTTCCTTTCCTTCCCCTACGATTTATTGCGATGTGTCCTATAGGCCCCGCCCACTGCTTCCATTGTTACTGCCTGCCCTGAGTGATCTGTGCACAATCCCTGTTGGGCCCACCCTAAGCTAACAGCAACTGTCAGGCCCTGCACAGCAGAGAAGCAGTGCATGCTGGGAATATTATTGATGGGGAGAGTGTCATGGGGATCGGGCATGCAGCTGGCAGGCAGATTGCCGGAGTGAGCCGTAACTGGAGTTTATGGCCCTCCTAGCCAAAAACGAGCATTTAAGCATTGCAGTGCCATGGGGGGAGGGTAATCTTTGGCGTAGGGAGTGATCAGAGCCCCTGATTGGGTATGAAAGGAGGAAAGTGCCTCCAAAAGCAGAAACATTGGCAGTCCAGGTTTCATTTTAAGAATTTTGTATCCTAAGAAGCCGACACGTTTCGGAGGCTCACGGCGCCCTCCATCAGGGCTTAGTATTGGTGAACAAAGCGTGTACTGGACTGATGCCGGGGCCCTGAGGAGAAGGTCGTGTGATTGCTGTAGGTGATGGTTGTTTATTGATGTCGGGGAGAGTCGTCCTCTCCCATTTGTCAATGAGATGATGATCCATATCCATAAATTCCACCTGTTCTGTTGATGACTCTGGAAAGGGGGATTTATCCTCACTTTGGAGAGATTTTCTTTCACCTCCTGCTGTGTCGCCAGGACAGGAAGTGAGGTAAAAGATCCCCTACGGGACTCAAATTGCAAAAAAAGTGAAGGTTTTTAAACTTCCTGTTATGTCTCCAGAACAGGAAGTGAAAGGAAATCTCCCCACTCAGATAGCAAAAAAAAAAAAATGCAATAGGGGTTTTAAACTTACTATTGGGTCTCCAGGACAGGAATTAAAGGGGAATCTCCCCAACAGGACTCCAAAGCAAAAAACAAACAAACTGTGACATGTGTTTTAAAATTTCCCTATTCCATTCAAAATTAAAAGAAGGTTTTTTCCTGTGCATGCACTTTAAATTTTTCTGACACTCTGGAGTGCCAAGGTGGACAACGTTGGCACTCTAGCTGTGGTGAAACTACAAATGCCATCATGCATCTGCCTCTGTAAGTCATGCCTGTGGCTGTCAGAGTCTTGCAATGCCTCATGGGACTTGTAGTCCCACAACAGCTGGAGGGCCAAGGTTGCCTACCCCTGCTCTATAGGTTCAGTGCTTTCTCTAAATGTAATCATGGATTGAAGTGTAAAAACACCAGAGCAGTGATTACCCCGAAATTCTCGGGTTCTATAAATATCGCTCAGTAGATAAAGATGAAACAATGACTTCATAACAAACCATTGAGTCATTATGTATTGAGTCCAGATACTTAGAGATAACCAGCTTAGATTAGAAGTGTGCTTTAAGAAACACCCTAGTGAGCTCATCGAGTCCCTGCCTACTCAGAACATCAGGTCATGTGACCAGTCATGGCAGCCGCCATTCATTTGCAGTTAAAGGAGATATAAAGCCAACACTTTATTTGTGTTTTTTTAAGATTTAGTAACTAATGATTGAAAACTTGTGTCAGTCTTTTTTTTCTTGACTAATTGGGGGAGAATTTCTTTTACTTCCTGCCCAGAGACATAACAGAAAGTGAGAGGAAAACTCACCAAAGCGAAGAGGAATTCCCCCCACTTAGATATCTGTCACCATAACAGGTGTTCCCCTTTTGAAAGATTTACCCTCAATTCCTGTTTTGCTGACAACTGTCATATTTTGCATTTCTCATCACTTCCTTTAACAGTGATGATGGTCCCCTGGGATATAGAGAGAAGATATCTGAGGGCTGCTAATACCAGCTGCTGATGAGCATGCTTGCCACATTTTGTTATGCTCTTCCATAAGGAGGAACCCAGGTCTGTCTGTGTCCTAATAACCAATGATGCTGTGCAACACATGCAGTATCATTGGCTGCTAGGAAGTAAGCAACTGGGACACAGCATCATTGGTTGCTAGGACACTGGTGGGTGTACCATAATAACCAATGATGTTTGGCTGTGGAACACCCACAGCCTCATTGGTTGCTAGGACCCTGGTGGCTGGGCACACAACATGATTGGTTGCTAGGACCCAAGTGGTTGGACACACAACATCATTGGTTGGTAGTGCTAAACTGACTACACAACATGATTGGTTGCTAGGAACCTAGTGTCTGGATACACAACATCATTGGTTGCTAGGACCCTGGTGGCTGGGCACACAACATCATTGGTTGCTAGGGCCCTAATGGCTGAATACTCAACATCATTGGTTGCTAGGACCATAGTGGCTGGACACATAACATAATTGGTTGCTAGGATTGTAGTGGTTGTCCACACAACATCAATGGTTACTAGGACCCTAGTGGCTGGGCACACAACATCATTGGTTACTAGGACCCTAGTGGCTTTATACACACAACATCATTGGCTGCTAGGACCTTAGTGGCTGGCCACACAACATTATTGGTAGGTAGGACCCTAGTGGCTGGACACACAACATCATTGGTTGCTAGGACCCTAGTGGCTTTATACACAACATCATTGTTTGCTCGGACCCTAGTGGCTGGACACACAACATCATTGGTAGGTAGGACCCTTGTGGCTGGACACACAACATCATTGGTTGCTAGGACCCTAGTGGCTTTATACACAACATCATTGTTTGCTCGGACCCTAGTGGCTGGACACACAACATCATTGGTAGGTAGGACCCTTGTGGCTGGACACACAACATCATTGGTTGCTAGGACCCTAGTGGCTTTATACACACAACATCATTGTTTGCCCGGACCCTAGTGGCTGGACACACATCATTGGTTGCTAGGACACTAGTGGCTGGGCACACAACATCATTGATTGCTAGAACCCTAGTAGCTGGGCACACAATATCATTGGTTGCTAGGACACAGATAGGCACACTATAACAACCTATGGCACTGTTGGACCATCTGTGTCCTAGCAACTAATGATGCTAAATGGCCCAACCAATGATGTTATATATGCGTGCATTCACCTGCCAATGATTTCTACGGGTTGATTGGCTGTACTCTGCGCCTGTCACTCCCAGAAGAGAAAACATGACCACATTGTGTGCTACACGACCAATAACTGCCATGTACATGAGCACTAAAGCTGACCATATGCTGCTTGAATTTTGGTTAATTCCAGTGAATCAACAGAAATGATTACTATTGTTGGCCCTGTTGTTCAGTCATCACGCTCTATACACAGTCTATAGACGTGAGGACACCAAGGAACATTCCAATCTACAATCAGCATAGAAAGAGAGAGGCTTCAGTGACTGGAAAAGCAGGCAGCCGGCTCCGCGGTTCAGGCGAGTAGACAAAAATTAAGCACTTAACCCTTGCAGTGAAGGGGTAGGCCCACTCCAAGGGTATAGAACACTTTTGGCTGCAGTTCTTCTTGATTAGAAGTGAAATTAGAAATGATTAGTCCTTCAAATCTGCTAGGACTACAGATAGGAAGGAGTGCAGGGACAGTGTGTCTGGATTTCAAATATCAGCAAAGGATGATGGGAATGTCATATATAAGGATTATGGGTAATTACACAATGTAAAATGACTTTAGTAAATGCTCAGATGATACGTATGAACGTTTTCATTAATTAGTTCCTTGGCTGGTGGGACATACTCATGTACTTTATTGTATAATGGAAAACTACAATTGTAAGCTGTAAAATACCTTCATTATACGCAATTGTACTGATAATATTCATAAAGTGCAATCCGGGCCCAATAAATGTTTTATTCTATACAAATATTTCCCTTCCCAAAGCAGAAATGTCTTTGTAGACCTCTTGGAAGGTATTATTTACTCTGATTGCCACCATAAAAATAAAAAAACTATATTTGGCACTGGGGTAACGCTAAATAAGTCACTTATGTTGTCTACAATGTTAAAACAGGTGCTGAACTGACACTGCACTTGCCAAAAACATAGAAGAAACAGTGGATTACTCATGTAAACCCCACCCAGGAAGAGTCAAACCCCGCCTATTAGTAGGTGAAGTCCTACTCCTCTGCCAATAGAGCTGCAGGGGAGGTACCAAGAGTGTAGGATCAGTTTAAGGTGCAACTAAAGAGACCCAACCAGGAGGAGCCAAAACCCCACCTATTAGTAGGTGAAGTCCTCCTCCTCTGCTACTAGAAACACAGGGGAGGTATCAAGAGTATAGGATCAGTTTAAGGTGCAACTAAAGAGACCTGTCCCAGAGAAGCCAAACACCACCTGTTAGTAGGTGAAGTCCTCATCCTCTGCCGCTAGAACCACAGGAGAGGTTCCAAGAGTGTGGGATCAGTTTAAGGTGGAACTAAAGAGACCCGCCCTAGAGGAGCCAAACACCACCTGTTAGTAGATGAAGTCCTTATCCTCTGCCACTAGAACCACAGGAGAGGCACCAAGAGTGTAGGATCAGTTTAAGGTGCAACTAAAGAGACACAACCAGGAGGAGCCAAACCCCACATATTAGTAAGTGAAGTGCTCCTCTTCTGCCATAGAACCACAGTGGAGGTACCAAGAGTGTGGGATCAGTTTAAAGTGGAACTAAAGAGACCCGCCCTAGAGGAGCCAAACACCACCTGTTAGTAGGTCGTCACTACAGGAAGCGGCATCACATAATTTTACTTCATGTTATATTGACAAAATGAGCAATATATTCTGAATATTCATATTCATTTTGGGGGAGGGGGATTCATCTTGGTAGGAATTTTATAACTGATCAAGTTCCTGAAAGTGGGCTTCAAGTCTACAGGTCACGTCTGACTGATTAAAAACCATGCCCTCCCTATAGGGCTAAGTCTCAGGCTCTGGTTGAGAAAATATGACTTTATTGAACCCTTGTTGTTTATGTAAAACCAGATCTAGTTTTCTTCATGGCAAACAGAAGACCCGGCACACTCGGCCCTGCACGCTAGTCCCTGCAAATGCTGCAGATGAGGTTTTTAGACTAAGGGCCATATTTGCATAGGCTGCCATTGCCCCCCCTGCACCCAATGCTGCAAATAGCAGTGGCGACCCTGCATGGGCTTCTTGATGTGTGAACTTTGTCACTGTCCCTGGAAATAATTCTAAAATGTATGATCACATCAGGAAAGCAATCAGTGAAAAGATAACAATAAAAAAATGAAACTGTTGTGTGTACCTGGAGATAACATGGAGGAAATCATTATATCGATCCACACGCATCGCACTACGCCAGTGACAAGGGTGCTTTCCACCCGGCCGTCCCTTCTCCCCGCAGGAACAATGCCCTGTGTTTCCTTAGTGCAGAAAATTCTGCTTTACAAGAATAATCTCTTAATTCGTCTCATAACCAGCTTTGCTGGAGGTATTAAAGGGGCAGCATAGTAAAATGGGAGGTTAACCAGTTCTCTGCCCTGAAAGGCTTTTGCTGCATTGCAGGCTTGGTCACATGAAGCATCAAGTACCAGTAACAGGTCAGGATTTCCAGATTTCCACATGGAGATAATCAGTGGGAATCTCTTCCTAAGAATTAACACAACTTTACTCCTACCTGGAATTCTAGAAAACATGACATCTACTTCATATGACTTTAGGAGATTAGTCTTAAAGGATCGTTTCTAAGGAATATACGTAAAGTGGAACTCAGAATGTCATGAATGAAACCTCAAAATGTAAAATATTGCAGCTTACCGGTCCTTAGATGTGGTAGATGTTTTCTTTTTTCATGCCTTTTCCTTTATCTTCACCTGGTGATCCTGCCAGGTGCATAAAGCCAGCCTCATAAACACATGGCTCCAATCTCAACCCTAGCTTCATAAAAATGTGGGTTGATGGGTTTGGTGTGGGGGAACATGAGTGACCTGTACAGAGCCCTGACCTTAACCCTAGCTTCATAAAGACATGGTTTGGTGTGTCTGGTGTGGAGAAACTTGAGTGGCCTGCACAAGGCCCTGATCTCAACCCCAGCTTCATAAAGACATGGTTGATGGGTTTGGTGTGGAGGAACTTGAGTGACCTGCACAGAGCCCTGACCTCAACCCTAGCTTCATAAAGACATGTGGAGGAACTTGAGTGACCTGCACAGAGCCCTGATCTTAACCCTAGCTTTATGAAGACATGGCGTGATGGGTTTGGTGTGGAGGAACATCAGTGACTTGCACAGAGCCCTGACCTCAACCCTACTGTACACCTTTGAGATTAATTGGAATGCTAAATGCAATCCAGGTCTTCTCATCCAACATCAGTGACTTGACCAATGTTCTTCTGGCTGGATGGGAACAATTTCCCATATATAAACTTGTGGAACGCCTTCCCAGAATTGTGTAAGCTGTTATAACCACAAGGGGGGCTCCATATTAGTGTTCATGGAATGGAATGTCCAGCACGTCCATATAAGTGTGAAGGCCAAGTGTCCATACATTGTACGTCAAAAGTTCCTTTGCTTAGACGTAAGCCAAAAGGCTGAAAAAGTTTAGCACTCAAGATGGCTGCCTCATTCCTAGATGATGGGAAAGGACCATGAGACTTTCCTGACGAGGCCTTGAAGCTGGCCATGCAGCAGAAATGATTTGGTGCTACAGGTTATCAATCTCATATATGATTAAGTTGAAGAGCCTTTGAGTAGAAACCAACAACACATTTTTATAACCACTGAGTCTTAGGTAAACACCATCGCCTCTCAAGTGGCTTTGAAGGGCATGATAGCTAAAAAGGGCCCAAAAATGTCATCGCTCAGCAAACCTTCTGCCAGATAGTTATATATTTTTGAAATAGTTCATTATTTATGGAGGATGCCATGGGATGAACTCGGAAGGCAGGGCAAGGGATTAGCCGGGTTAAAGAGTGACAGACTTCTATGTAATGTTTCAGCCACTTTTCTTGAAATTGGAGACGATGGAAATCTGTGTACAAATACTCATCCTGCCTGCAGATCCAGCACTGCAAATATTTTCATCGCACTTTACCAGCAATAAAACGTCTAGATAAATATTTTTGACAAATACTTATTTCCACGGGTAGAAAAAGACCATTGTTGATATTCCAGGGAAAATTGCTTTTTGCTATTGATGGAGGCTATTATATTCCAGGCTCAAGCTCAGACTTGTTTGATTTCTTCTTATATCTGGTCCCTTTTAGGCCTATTTCATCTTATATAATCGGTAGGTATATACCGTAGATCACTGGCTCCATTTCCTGTTAAAGTGTTTCTAAAGCTCAAACTTTTTGTTTCGAAAAAATATGGGCTAGATAAAAATCCTGGTACTAATTTTTTTTGCTGTCTTTGTGCCATTGGGGAGATTTCCCTTCACTTCCTTCCCCAAAGACACAACAGGAAGTGAAAAAAATCTCTGTAAAAGTTGGCCATACACTGTATAAATAATTAATAAGCCAGCTGAAATTAATTCAGTGGGTGGCCCTATTGGCACCAGGGCTGTCTTTAACGTGGGGCAAAAGGGGCAGTTGCCCCGGCGCCCAGTCATTGTCGTGGGGCCCAAAGCAGCTGCCCCTTGAGCCTGCAAATTTTTATTATTATTATTAATAATTACAACCCATTTTTATATGTAAATTTTATATGTAGATAACAATAAAAATAAAAAATTTTTTTTTCAAAAAAATCATAAAAATAATAGTACAGTAACTGTTTTCCAAAAGAAAACATAAACCTTTTATTATTATCATTATTATTATTATTAATAATAAAAGCTGACACCCTCGGCATGTGTTATATGGTTTGCCATTTTAGCTGTTACAGCAGTGATTCTCAACCTGTGGGTCCCTGTGTGATTTCTGCTGTGCTCGGTGAGAGTCCTCCTCAGCCTTCTCCTAGCGCAACAGTGTCAGTTCTCCCGCCACGCCGCCAGGTGTCGCTGCAGCAGCCGCGTCATCCCTAAATGTTACCGTTGGGGGTCACCACAACTTGGCAAATGTTACCAAGGGGTCCCGGCCCTAGAAAGGTTGAGAACCACTGCCCTAGATGGTGTTGAGGAGTACAGGATCTTTACAGCACACCAGTAAAACAATACACAACACATACAGTCACAAGACTCTAGTGCTCCACCTTCTGGCTTTAAATGGTAAATATGAATATGTTTTGTAACTTTAAGTTTATTTTTAAAATGAAGAGGAAGTGATGAGAGGAAGTGGACCTGTCAGTTAAAGTAACACTCGACATAAATCAATTGTATGTGTGCTGGCAACATGCATAGATACATTTGTTTAGATTAAGCCAGGGGTAGGCAGCTACATATACTCTCATGCATCTGCCTCTGCCAGTCATGCCTGTGACTGTCAAAGTCTTGCAATGCCTCATGGAACTTGTAGTTCCACAACAGCTGGAGCTCTGAGGTTGCCCACCCCTGGTCTAAATGTATAATAAAAAGTGAATCTCACAATTGTTGGTTGAAAGTTATGTAGATTGAGGGACAGTGTCAGAAGCAAGGATTGCAAAATTTTTATTTCTACCGGGGTGTCCCTTGAAGTTATTTTCTGCTGTCTGGCCTCTTTAAAAAGACTTTGTTGTCACATCAGTACATGTGTTGTAGATCTTTATTACATTAATAATACGTTTGCGTGTTCCAGTTGGAATGCCTAGTGTGCAGAACTGGTAATGTTCTCATTAGAAGGTTGTAAACTCAGGTTAATTGCTCTTTATGGATTTACAATCCCCTTGTTAGGAAAAGGAAATCCTTGGTGTACAGCGCCCCCTCCTGTTCTCTTTACATACTGCAGATTTAAGTGTGCACAAGTCTTTACTGCTTGCTGAGGAGCAGCTAACAATTTCTTCAAGATTGCTAGTCTATGGAGGCAGAAATTCTGTAAATTGTGGCTGTGCTTTCTTCACTACCGGAAAGTAAACAAAGTCAACAATCATTCCCACTTTCAGCAGTAAATGGAGATGGTCAGGGACTGGGGTCATACTACAGGAGATGGTCACAGATGGCAGATATACTACAGGAAATGGTCAGAGACTGGGGCCATACTACAGGAGATGGTCACGGATGGCAGATATACTACAGAAACGGTCAGAGACTGGGGACATACTAAAGGAGATGGTCACGGATGGCAGATATACTACAGGAAATGGTCAGAGACTGGGGCCATACTACAGGACATGGTCAAGGATGGCAGATATACTACAGGAAATGGTCAGAGACTGGGGCCATACTAAAGGAGGTGGTCACAGACTGCAGATATACTACAGGAAATGGTCAGAATCTGGGGACATGCTACAGGACATGGTCAGAAACTGCAGATATTCTACAGGGGATGGTCAGAGACTGATACATACTACAGGAAATTGATAGAGACTGCACTGCAGTGACGGTGATTATTAGAGACTGCAGACATACTGCATTAAGTAGTCAGAGACTGGCACTGAGAAACTCAGGTTCCCCTCAGTAAGATCCATTATAAAAGAAATAAAAGATCAGAGAACAGGAAGTGGACGGCACAGAGAAGTAATAAAGTGAGAAAGAAATGAGGATTAGGAGAAAAGTCTACAACATTTATAACTGGATGCTCAGTGCTGAGACACTCATTATACTTTCAGAAGTCAGAATAGGATGTGTGTTTCCTGCACTTACTTAAAAGGCATGCACTGTGATACAGTGTGCACTACTGGTGCTGATACATTGGTATACTATGGCTGTCCTAGCAGTGCAGGTAATGTAGAGCTGTCCTAGCAGTGCAGATAATGTAGAGCTGTCCTAGCAGTGCAGGTAATGTAGAGCTGTCCTAGCAGTGCAGGTAATGTAGAGCTGTCCTAGCAGTGCAGGTAATGTAGAGCTCTCCTAGCAGTGCAGGTAATGTAGAGAAGTCCTAGCAGTGCAGGTAATGTAGAGCTGTCCTAGCAGTGCAGGTAATGTAGAGGTGTCCTAGCAGTGCAGATAATGTAGAGCTGTCCTAGCAGTGCAGATAATGTAGAGCTGTCCTAGCAGTGAGGTAATGTAGAGCTGTCCTAGCAGTGCAGGTAATGTAGAGCTGTCTTAGCAGTGCAGGTAATGTAGAGCTGTCCTTGTAGTGCAGGTAATGTAGAGCTGTCCTAGCAGTGCAGGTAATGTAGAGCTGTCCTAGCAGTGCAGGTAATGTAGAGCGGTCCTAGCAGTGCAGGTAATGTAGAGCTGTCCTAGCAGTGCAGGTACTGTGGGGCAATGTTAGTAGTGCGGGCACTGTAGGGCAGTCCTAGCAGTGCAGATACTATAGGGCAGTCCTAGCAGTGCAGGTAATGTTGTACAATGTAGTAGCTCTGGCTGTGGCTCTCTCATAGGTGCAGGACCTAGCACACATCTGGGGAGACCCTCCTGGTCATTCCTGCTACTTCACGGGTCAGTTGGAAAGTCTCTTAACATTTGTCTTCATACCATTCCAGGTTACATGCTGCTCAGGAGGTTGGAGTCAACCATTGAAAATGCTGATCAATGGTTGCCAGGGCCTAGGAGCCACACACTCATACCCTGGGCCTTTGTGTGGCCCATGTTCAGGCACTTCCTACGTTGTCACTTTGTTGCATGCACTTGCAGTGGCCATGCTGATACACAGTGCACAGGCATAGTCCACCCGTCGTCACCATCAAAAAGCCAGTCCAGAGCAATGACGGGGAGCTTATGTCGGAGCAAGTGCATATAGACAGGAAGTGGCTGCAGGAGATCAACAGCATGGAGATACAAAAGAGGATGAAGAAAAGGCCATGAAATTGTAATTCTTCCATTGTGAAGCCCAATGCAGAATTTACCTATCAAATTATCCAATGAGATTGAGGAAATGATCTGAATAAACAGCACCTGACAAGTGGAATATTTTATTACTGCAGATAAAGCTTCAGCCGATAAGTGAAGGCATCTCTGTCCACACACACCTGTATGCTGCACCTATTGTACAGAACGTCATATACCAGTATACACAACAATACGGCTATTATACGCAGAAAGACAAAGGATTACACATGCAAATACCACCATATACTATTGGAGTTCTGCTATGATACACAGCCAATAAATGAGGCTTCTGGCCAAGCAACAATAATGACCTGCTTTCTTTGAAAAAGCTTTACATATTTTACAATGCTGAAACAAATTACATTGGCCACGCACATTAACATTGTATCAGTTCAAAAAAATTAAATCCAAATTATAAAATGTTTGCACAGCCATTCGCTCTGCGATCATCTGGCTTTTACATTCATTGCACATTTTGGCCACCAGATGGAGCCCAGGAGCATAGCCATTTCCTATGTTCCTTGGCTCCATCTAGTGGCCATAGTAAAAAATAGTCAGATTGTTCGCATAGCTAACGGCTCTGTGTACATTTTTTATATGCACCCTTTAGTGTTGTGCTTAGGCCTCATTTAGTCCATGCTGTACATGGGTTAATGAGCAATACCATGCATGCGACACAATATGCTGTGTATACTTTTCAATGGTACCCCTACACACATACATGGAATAAACATACACAACTGCCACTCCCCACATGTAATAGAAATGTGTTGACTTGGAATAAAATAAATCAGATACATTTTTTTTTGCCCATGGACATACATTGAAAATATATTGGCAATGCAATGTTGATGCAGCAAAAAACATGTAAAGATGCATACATAGGCGTGATAGCTTGGTGAATTAAGCACGCAGAATCTATAAAGAGCATATAGTAAGGAAATGATTCCTGATACCTATGACCCAACCTGCTGATTTGACTTCCCGTGTATGACCTGGCTTGCCCCTTTGACCTATTTCTGGATCTCGCCTACCCATTGTGACCCTACTTGTATATTGGACTTTGCTTTTCTGTCTACTGATTATGTTCCTTGCTGCCTGACTATGCTGACTAAGCTTTAGCCTCCTCGGGTGCTGAAAAGTTCCTCTGTCTGGTTCCTTCTCAGTGATTTACAGTCACCCTGGTGCGCACATCTGATGACCAGCTCTGCTTGCAACTTTGGCCTTTGCGCTACTTTGTGTCCTCACATGAGGTGTTGGACAAGAGATGGAAGAGAAGCCTCCTCGTCCGTTTGGTCTCCCAGGTATGTGACAGAATTAGGTAAGAATATGCAATAGAAAACAAAAGGGAACAGAGCGCCACCTCCGTGTGCTTGTATTATACACACGGAGGTGGCGCTCTGTTCCCTTTTGTTTTCTATGTTCGTGGTGGAAGCCCCAGAGCCTTGGATGAGCAGCCCCTCAAGTCTTTGTGAAAAACTGTGATAAACTGTTGAAAACTTTGAGTGTGCAACAGCAAGTGGATTGTTCAGCTGGCAGCCATTAGCGCCAAGAGCTAAAGAAAAAGAATATGCAATAGCCTGATGAAGTCCTTGCAAAGTCTGCAGTTTATCTGGAGGCTCTCAGCAAAGTTGGAGTTTCATTTTCCATGCCATAAGTCACATCTTACGAGAGATGTTTGTTATAGGATATGTGGGATTTACCAGCGTGGCCAAGACTAAAAACATGGGGGTTGAGTATCATACTTTATATTGACTTTGCTTGTTTTTTTTCTTCTTTAAACAGGATTAATTTCCACGCCATCACCATATAAAACATGCAGTTGTCTAGAAGAATCCTTCAAGAATGGATGAGTGATGTCTACTGTTATAGATCAGATGAACATGGCACTGGTGTAATGTATTTAGATTACCTGAGGAACCCTACTGTACTGCTCCTCAACTGTTCAAAGGTAGTTGGAGGTTCACCTACAGTATGTTACCCAAACAACTGAAATCTAGACTTTGAGATCCCAGAAAATAGTTCTACACTATGGCCATTCACACCCTTCGTGATCTACACTGACCACCAATGTAAGGGGGCACTACAGTGACCACCAATATAAGGAGGAACTTCATGACCACCAATGTAAGGGGACAGCACACTGACCACCAATGTAAGGGGACAGCACACTGACCACCAATGTAAGAGGGAACTAGACTGACCACCAATGTGAGGGGACACTACACTGACCACAAATGTAAAGGGACACTACACTGACCACCAATGAAAGGGGGGCACTACACTGACCACCAATGTAGGGGGCAGCACACTGACCACCAATGTAAGGGGGTACTAGACTGACCAGCAATGTAAGGGGGTACTAGACTGACCAGCAATGTAAGGGGGCACTACATTGACCACCAATGTAAGGGGGCACTACACTGACCACCAATGTAAGGGGGCAATACACTGACCACCAATGTAAGTAGGTACTACTCCGACCACAAATGTAAGGGGGCACTACACTGACCACCAATGTAAAATGTAAGGGGGCACTACACTGACCCCCAATGTAAGGGGGAACTACACTGACCACCAATGTAAGGGGTACTACACTGACCACAAATGTAAGGGGGTACTACACTGACCACCAATGTGAGGGGACACTACACTGACCACCAATGTAAGGGGGCACTACACTGACCACCAATGTAAGGGGGCACTACACTGACCACCAATGTAAGGGGGCACTACAGTGACCACCAATATAAGGAGGAACTTCATGACCACCAATGTAAGGGGACAGCACACTGACCACCAATGTAAGGGGACAGCACACTGACCACCAATGTAAGAGGGAACTAGACTGACCACCAATGTGAGGGGACACTACACTGACCACAAATGTAAAGGGACACTACACTGACCACCAATGAAAGGGGGGCACTACACTGACCACCAATGTAGGGGGCAGCACACTGACCACCAATGTAAGGGGGTACTAGACTGACCAGCAATGTAAGGGGGTACTAGACTGACCAGCAATGTAAGGGGGCACTACATTGACCACCAATGTAAGGGGGCACTACACTGACCACCAATGTAAGGGGGTACTACACTGACCACAAATGTAAGGGGGCACTACACTGACCACCAATGTAAGGGGGCACTACACTGACCACCAATGTAAGGGGTACTACACTGACCAGCAATGTAAGGGGGCACTACACTGACCACCACTGTAAGTGGGTACTACCCTGACCACCACTGTAAGTGGGTACTACACTGACCACAAATGTAAGGGGGCACTACACTGACCACCAATGTAAGGGAGTATTACACTGACCACAAATGTAAGGGGGTACTACACTGACCACCAATGTGAGGGGACACTACACTGACCACCAATGTAAGGGGGCACTACACTGACCACCAATGTAAGGGGTACTACACTGACCACCAATGTAAGGGGGCACTACAGTGACCACCAATATAAGGAGGAACTTCATGACCACCAATGTAAGGGGACAGCACACTGACCACCAATGTAAGGGGACAGCACACTGACCACCAATGTAAGAGGGAACTAGACTGACCACCAATGTGAGGGGACACTACACTGACCACAAATGTAAAGGGACACTACACTGACCACCAATGAAAGGGGGGCACTACACTGACCACCAATGTAGGGGGCAGCACACTGACCACCAATGTAAGGGGGTACTAGACTGACCAGCAATGTAAGGGGGTACTAGACTGACCAGCAATGTAAGGGGGCACTACATTGACCACCAATGTAAGGGGGCACTACACTGACCACCAATGTAAGGGGGAACTACACTGACAGGCAATGAAAGGGGGCATACCACT